ATCACTATATATTTGTCAAGGGAAACAGCCAACATGAAGAGATTTTGATAATTAACATTTATGCAAGGTATATACCCAGATGATCAAAAATTATTTTATAACAAAGATATGTGCACCAGAATGTTTATTGCAGCCCAATTCATAATAGCCAAGACATGGAAACAGCCCAAGTGCCCATCGACTCAATGGATTAACAAATTGTGGTACATGTACACCATGGAATACTATGCAGCCATAAAAAGATGGAGACTTCACATCTTTTATGTTTACCTGGATAGATCTGAAACACATTCTTCTTAGTACAGTATCTCAAGAATGGAAAACAAAGTATCCGATGTACTCAATACTACTATGAAATCAATATATAACCACCTACACACTCATACAAATGGCAAAACATAAATATAGTCCAGAAAGTAGAAGGGAAGAGGAGAGAGAGGGGAGAGGATGGGGGGATATGGGAGAAGGGAGGGTATTTGGGAGAACCTCACCTAAAGTGCATGATGCAATGGTACATTTCAAAACTATTAAGAAATGAGTATAATTGTAACGGATGTGTTACATGTTCAATGTAAACATTTCACTGTATGTCGAAGCAGTACCCTGAACCCCATAAATGCATCAATATACAAAGTTATGATTTAATGAAAAAAAAAATAAGCACAGTGCATTATTAGGAATAGTATTCATAGTAGCTAAGAACTATAATTATTTTCATTTCTTTTGGGAGGATAAGGACATTCATTTTGTAACAAGTTACTTAACTTTATTCCTAATGAAATACCAAGAGTAAAAAAATTAGACAGTTCTTAAAACCAACAAAAGTCCTTGGTATTCTTCAGTTACAAATTTAGGATGGACCTGAGAAGATTTTACAACTCCTAAGACCTCTCCTGTAATGCCAAACAGTTCAAGAAAGAACTCTCTTACCTTGCATGCTACGTCAACTAATCGAATCTGGACAGCTTGATTTTCTGGTAGTTTAGTGCCAATTGCAAGCAAAGTGTCCAGCAGTTGGGCTAGGACTTGATGACACTCTAGAAAGGAAGATGGAAAGGTAGGTCGTATAATTTCAAAAGAAGAGCAGTATAGAAACTAACTTGAGTAAAGAATGTAAGTTTTGGGGGTTCTTCTGATTCTTCATCCCGTCAACCAAAAGCTAAGTTCCCAAAGAGATCACATCTAAATATTTTAGTCATAATCCTATACACATAGTAGGTGCTCCAAAAACATTTAGTGCCTAATTCAAGAGATTTTCAGGGCCAGGCATGGTGGCTAACACCTGTAATCCTATAACTTGGGAGGCCAAGGCAGGTGGATTGCCTGAGCAATTTGAACCCACCACTTCTGGTATATGGGGCCAGGCGCCCTACCCCTTTGAGCCACAGGTGCCACCCTCTCCCCTGGTCTTTAAGTAAATAAGGCACGGCGAACAAAGAATCAACTTTACCACATACTGCGTAACCTTGAACAATCAGTTAACTTCTCTGAGCCTTAGTTTCCCAATCTATAAAACAGGGACAATAAGCTGGGTGCGTGTGCCTCTAGTCCCAGCTACTAAGGTGGGGAAGCTGAGGCAGGAGGACCACTTGAGGACAGGAGTTCAAGATAAGTTGGGGAATACAACACCAAGACCCTTTCTCAAAACAAACAAATAAAAACTAGAGCAATAGTATCTATCTCACATTACATGTAAGTTACCTTAAATAAATAGTACTTAGTCAACAAATGATAGCTATTAAGAGATAAAAATGTATTTCAACTCTAATGTAAATGTATGTACATAGATTTAGTGAATCATACTCAAATTCCTTTTCTTTTTTTTCTTTTTTTTTTGAGACAGAGCCTCAAGCTGTCCCCCTGGGTAGAGTGTGGCATTACAGCTCACAGCAACCTCCAACTCCTGGGCTCAAGCGAGTCTCCTGCCTCCGCCTCCCAAGTAGCTGGGACCACAGGCGCCCGCCACAACGCCCGGCTATTTTTTGGTTGCAGCTGTCATTGTTGTTTGGCAGGTCCAGGCTGGGGATTCGAACCCGCCACCTTAGGTATACGTGGCTGGCACCTTAGCCAGTTGAGCTATAGGCGCCGAGCCTCAAATTCTTTTTCAATAACAACCAACACAACAAAATTTTGTTCTAAATTCTATATTCAAAGAACTAAAGATTTCTGTTCTGGCTATACAGCTTTGAAATACCTACTTACTTTCATTCTGTAGGATGTTAATAGCATCATCCATAATGCAGTCTGGTGAAAATCCTGCAGTTTTTGATAATAAACCCAACAATGATGCAATTTTCAGTCTCACAGATGGATCATTCTCCTGGAACAAAAGAAGCACGTGTCACCTTGATGCTCTACTCTTAGCTAACCAACAAATACAAATATGGAAAACATTCTAAAAGAGCTATAATGATTCAAGTATTCTAAGGTTTCATTTCTGAAAAATTATATACTTCAGGGGACAGAGCTTATCTTAATCAGTATATTATACCCAAATACTGAAGGAGAATTATGCCTCCTAATGAAAAATGTGCTGTTGGCATTAAAAGTATCTTTACTTCCACTGAGTAGTCTGGGCAGGTGTGAGTGACAACCATTTGCCCCAACACTGGGCATCCAACACTGCTGCCAGCACCAGTGCTCCTGAAGTCCCTAGCAAGTAGTTACTACAACTACCACCACTATCACCAGTAAGAACCCTTCCTGATTAGAAGTCTGGGGCAGACAAGTATAATTGTGCCTAAATCCCAGCTGCAAAGGAGACTGAGAAAGGAACAGTCTAGCTGTCTTAGTTTTACAGTGGGAGGTGGGCTCTAAGAGGTGAGACATTGCCCTTCAATACAGAAAGGAACATGTCCTCTCGTTCATCACCGTATCCCAAGTATGCAGCATAATACCTAATACTAAAAAAAAAAAAAACAATAAATATGAGTGAATGTATGTTCAGTACATACTCGTATATGTGAAATGAGAGGGGAAAACTGCCTTGACAATGCTGAGATTAGGTGATCTTTCTATTCCAAAGACAAAATTACTTAAATGTATCTTGAAAGGATGAGGTCACCCATAGCTCAGTGGTTAGGGCGCCAGCCACACACACTGGGGCTGGCGGTTGGAACCCAGCCAAGGCCTGCTAAACAACAATGACAGCAACAACAAGGAAAAAAAAAACAGCCCAGCATTGTGGCGGGCTCCTGTAGTCACAGCTACTTGGGAGGCTGAGGCAAGAGAATCACTTAAGCCGAAGAGTTTGAGGTTGCTGTGAGCTGTGATACCACGGCATTCTACCGAGGGTGACATAGTGAGACTTATGTCTCAAAAAAAAAAAAAAAGATGAGGTATTTTCCAGATATGACCAAGTCTCCACATAGTTTCTAAAGAGGTAAGGAAACACAACAGGGAAGCTTAAAGTGGAGGAAGAGGCAAAAGATAACAGAATCAGAAGGCCTAAAATCCTAGCACACGATGCCACTTAACAACGTACATAACTATGGGAATGCTATTTTCTTGGGAACTTAACATTAAGGTGTGAGGGGCAGCAGCATTAGACAGGTCTAGTTGTGAAGCCTGGATTCACTGTGTAATAGCTGTATGTCTTGAATAGTTAATTAACCTCTCTGAGCCTCATCTTTGAAATCGGGCTAATAACCTCAGAAGGCTACTGAGAAGAAAATAACTTGCAGAAAACGGGCATATAGTAGTCAAATATCCATGTTATAATCTTTACTACTCCTTTCCTTCTGGTAATTTTGGGTTTAGTTTGGGTTTTTTTTCTAGTTAAATTGTAAGGTTAACTTGTTGATTTGAGATTAATACCAGTATATCAAAAACTCCAAAACTCAACAACAAAAGAAATAAACAAATCAATGAAGATATACAAATGGCCAAATAAAGACATGAAAATAATCAGCATCACTCAACATTACAGAAACACAAATAAAACTACAGTGAGATTCCATCTCATACCCATTAAAATTGCTACTATCAAAAAAACAGAAAATAAGCATAGGAAGAACATAGAAAAACTAGAACCCTTATACACTGCTGGTGGGAATGTTAAACAGTAAAGCTGCTGTGGAAAACAACTTGGTGGTTCCTCAAAACATTAATGGAACTACCATAGGATCTAGCAATTCCACTTTTAGGTACATACTCAGAAGAATGAAAGCAGGGTCTTGAGGTATTTGTACAACTACATTCATAGCAGTGTTATTCACAATCACTAAAACCTGGAAGCAGCCTGAGTATCCACTAACAAATGAATGGATATGCAAAATATGGTTCTATACACACAATGGAGTACTACTGAGTCTTAAAAAGGAAGGAAATTCTGACATGTCCTACAACGTGGATAAAACTAGAGGATATTATGCTAAGTGAAATAAGCCAGTCACAAAAAGACAAATGATACATGATTCCCCTTAATCTTACAGACAAAAAGCAGAGTCGTGGTTGCCAGGGGATGGGGGAAGAGGGGATGGAGGGTTATCATATAATGGGTATAGAGTTTCAGTTCTGCAAGATGAAAAGAGTTCTGGAGATGGATGGTGGTGATGGCTGCACAATATGAGTATTTTTAATACCACTGAATTATATACTTAAAAATGGAAAATAAATTTAATAAGCTTTGCAATTTAAAAAAAAAAAGGTAAAAGAATATCTCAGGCCAGGCACGGTGGCTCACAACTGTAATCCTAGCATTCTGGGAAGCTGAGGTGGGTGGACTGCCTGAGCTCACAGGTTCAAGACCAGCCTGAGCCAGAGTAAGACCTCATCTCTTAAAAAAAAAAAAAATAGCTGGGCATTGTGGCTGGAGCCTGTAGTCCCAGCAACTCAGGAGGCTGAGGCAAGAGAATCACTTACACCCAAGCGTTTGAGGTTGCTGTGAGCTTCTACACCATGGCACTCTACCTAGGACGACTGAGTGAGACTCTATCTCAAAAAAAAAAACAAAAACAAAAAACCCAAAATATCTGACCTAGTAACATCTCTTATCCATCTGGATACTTTACTCAAGCTCTTCTATGTTCTGAAATAATTCCTTGGCACTCCTTCTACCAAGACACATAAATGACCCCCTCACATCTACACTAAAAAACATAGTTACACCTCCAGGGAAGCCCTCTCTAAATAACTGCTTTTCTCACCATTGAAATTGTCCTGTTTCAGGCTTTCATCACTTTTCTCCAGACTTCTAACTAGCTACCCTAACTCCACTCTTGCCCTCATCCAATTCCTCCAACCTCTGTACTTCCCCTAGAGGGACATGTCTAAAACAAAAACGACCGGCAGGCTGAGCGCGATAGCTCATGCCTGTGATCCTAGCACTCTGGCAGGCTGAGATGGGCAGACTGCTTGAACTCAGGAGTTCTAAAAAGAAAAAAGTTAAAATGAACAGTGAAACACTGCACTGTTACTATTCATTTCTTGTCTTATCTAGTCAGCAAGACTCAGATCAGGGGTCGTATTACATTCATTTCTACATTACCAACAGGGATACAAGGCAGAATACAAGGCCCTTCAGAGTGAGACTCCTTCCAAACCTTTCTAGTCCCATCTTTTAACAAGCTCTCAACGTAAACTCTAAAGCCAAACTCTCCGCCAAATCTCTGCACGTCGACCACCCAAGGACTGCAGCAAACTGGTCAACATACTAGGCCTACAGTACTGATATGTACATGTGGTTCATGTCCAGTCTATGAAAATTAGGTCAACTTAGGAGGTTCTACTTCAGAGGTTCTACTGTAGTTGCATTACTTCTAATGTGATCACCTATTTTACATCTCCATGTCTTTGCTCACAATTGCTCACAACTAAAATGTCTTTTTTCCAACTGGCCAAAATCGGTTTTTAAGATACCTCAATGCACTACCCTATAACGCATTTCTGGATACCTATCCCCAAGTGGAACTGATCACCACCTTCTCTGAGGCCATATTATGACCTGCCCCAGATTTCAGAGTACCTGAAACACTGTACTATTATTATCCATTTCTTGTCTTATCTAGACAGTAAGACTCAAATCAGGGCATATTACTGTATGACCAAAAAGAGGAAGCACAAGGCCTGACACAGAGTAAGTATTCAGATATGCTAAGCAAATGAAGAAATGAACAAATGAATAACTTTACCTCTTACTATCTACATGTTACATGTTATTTGGTTTGTCAACTTAACTGCCAACCCCTAAATGACAAGGAACATGTCTCACAGGTCTGCACCCTCCAGAACAACTAGGACAGTCATGCAAGTAAAGAATCCCTCAGGCGGCGCCTGTGGCTCAGTGAGTAGGGTGCTGGCCCCATATACCAAGGGTGGCAGGTTCAAACCCGGCCCTGGGCAAACTGCAACAAAAAATAGCCGGGCATTGTGGTGGGCACCTGTACTCCCAGATACTCAGGAGGCTGAGACAAGAGAATCACCTAAAGCCCAAGAGCTAGAGGTTGCTGTGAGCTGTGATGTCACAGCACTCTACCAAGAGCAACAACAACAAAAAAGAATCCCTCATGTGAAATAAGTTCAAGTACTATTGCCTAACCACAGAAAAATATAGGAAAAAGCCAAAACCAGAGTGGTTTATCTACTAAAATATAACATACCACATTTCTAAATAGAATAGCTGAAAGGGTTAAAAAAAACACTATGGTCAGGTGGCGCCTGAGGCTCAAAGGAGTAGGGAGCCGGCCCCATATACCAGAGGTGGCGAGTTCAAACCTGGCCGCAGCCAAAAACTGAAAACAAAAAAAAAAGAAAAAAAAAACCACTATGGTCACCAACCTAGAACTGGACCCATGGGGCAGCCCTCTTAATTTCCTTTGGAGCTAGGGTCTGCCAGACTAATGCAAGCAGCATAGCCCAGTTAAAGTGCTTGGAATCTGACATCAGAATACCTCAGTTCAATTTTCTTTAATACATGATAACAGTATTATGATTCTATTTTTCAAAAGAGCCTTTATCATTCAGAGATATAAAGTGAAATTTACAAACAAAATGATATACTGTCAGTGATCTGTTTTTACAAAAATCTGACAGAGTGGCACCCTACTGAGGGTGACAAAGTAAGACTCTGTCTTAATTTAAAAAAAAAAAAAAGAATCTGATAGAGAAGGTGAGAGTGGAAGAAATGGAAGTGACTGGGAGACAGGGGAAATGAAACAAGCTTGGCTATAAAATGATAATTTTTGAAGCCAAGTAATGAGTACATGGAAGTTAATTAAAGTATTCTCTATACTTGTATAGGTATTTACTTGAAATGTTCCATAACAAAGTTTTCAAAAAGAAAACAAAAACACAGTTTCAAATTCTTGGATACTAAATGGCTCTAAACCTGCTTCCTTAACTGCAAGTTAGAGATAACAGTGGTGGTATTGATCATAAGGATAAAATAAAATATTACACGTAGAAAGTGCCTTATAAATTCTAACATGCTATCCAAATGTTAACTGCTCTCAGAAAGATTATTATAGGTGATTACTGAGTAATAGAGGGTTTTTGGTTTGTTTTTTTTTTTTTAAGAGACAGGGTCTCACTCTGTCATCTAGGCTAGAGTGGCACAATCATAGCTCACTATATCCTTGAACTCTTGGACTTAAATGATCCTCCGTCCTCTTGAGTAGCTGAGACTATAAGTGAGTGACATCCTGCCTGGCTCTTAGAGTTTTTTTATATGTAATCAAAGTAGATATTGCTAAGAAAAAGGTTAAATGAAAATAGATCACTTGAGAGTTTAAAAATGTCTTGAGAAGAGAAACTCTGATTTCATTCCATGATTGAAACATTTATTAAGCCCCCTACAATGTTCCAGGAACTGAGATAGAGAATAACAGATTTGTAGATTCTGAATTTAAGGAGCTTAAAATCTGAAGGAAACAGGCACAGTGGCAATACGTATATAAGAGCCAATAATTATGCTATCTAGTCCCCGACTATATATATATATATAAAACAAATATTTGTTAACTGAGTAAAAAGCATCATAAAAACATTCATTCATTCAACGGATATTTATTTTACTCAGTATTGTTCTTAGTGTTTTAGATACATCAATTAAAAAAAAAATTCTTGCTCAAGAGGAGCTTTATGTTCTAGTATAGGAACATAATAAATAAGAAAATTATATAGAATATTAAAAGACAGTAAGTGATATGGAGAAAACAAAATCAAGGAAGGGGGCTAGGAATACTGGGTTGGGACAGGCAGTTTCACTATGACACTAGAGTGGTAAAGGGAGATCTCAATAAAAAAAGTGACATTTTAACAACAATTTAAACAAACGAGTTTTATTCAAGTCTTTGTTCAAATGACTTGAATGACAGGTGGTAAGCAGACTAGTAAATATCTGAGGGAAGTATTCCAGACACAAGGAATGTACGAGGAAAGACCATGAGGAAGGATTATGCTTGGCAGACAACATGGATGACCAGATCACAGGGCAATGGAAGGGAGAAGGGTTCTAGCCAAAAGAGAGAGCATGAAAAAAGACAGTGATTTCTAAAAACATATAAGGTCCCTGGGAAACTGCAAGTATTTGATTAAGCTAGAACGTTATACATTATACCTATAAAAATGAGGACCTTTTATGTCAGACATGAAAGTAACAGAATGGGGCAGTGCCTGTGGCTCAAGGAGTAGGGTGCTGGCCCCATATACTGGAGGTGGAGGGTTCAAACCAGACCCTGGCCAAAAACTACAAAAAAAAAAAAAAAAGAAAGAAAAAGAAAGGAAAGAAAGTAACAGAATGAACAGGCTTAAAGTTTATATAAAGCGATTAAAGGGAAAAAGAATCTTTTACAAGGTGACACATCAAGAAATTACATGTATCCTGATAGGTTCAATAAGAAGTACAAATTGGGCGGTGCCTGTGACTCAGTGAGTAGGCTGCTGGCCCCATATACCAAGGGAGGCAGGTTCAAACCTGGCCCCAGCCAAACTGCAACAAAGAAGGCCAGGTATTGTAGTGGGCACCTGTGGTCCTACTCCGGAGGCTGAGGCAGGAGAATTGCCTAAGCCCAAGAGCTGGAGGTTGCTGTGAGCTATGATGCCACAGCACTCTACCCAGGGTGATAGCTTGAGGCTCTGTCTCAAAAAAAAAAAAAAAAAAAAAGATATTTGATGAACAACTAGAGAAATTGCAATACGGGCTAATTCTTAGACAACATAAAGGAATTATTTAGTTTTGTTCAATGTAGTTTGTGTCAAAAACAAGTATTACTGAAATTTGGAAAAATGATACTTAAAATTCAGGAAAACAAATAGACAGAGGAAATCTGACAAAATATCAATAACTATTAAATCCCAGGAATGGGTTTTGGTAGTTCTTACAATATTTTCTCTAGTTTTCTATAATCTCAATAATTTTCAGTCTCAAAAAAAAAAAAAATATTAGCCAGGTATGGTGGTCCATACCTGTCTGTAGTCCCAGCTACTTGGGAGGCTTAGGCAGGATTGCTTGAGCCCAGGAATTTAAGGTTGCAGCGAACTATGATCTCACTACACTGCACTGCAGCTGGGGGAACTAGTAAGACCCTGTATCAAAAAAAAAAAAAAAAAAAAGTCGGGGGTGGAGGAAGGAAAGAAGGAAAATTTCATAGAAAAGTTTTAATATTTAACTAATCTATGGTTCGGCTTGGCACCTGTGGCTCAAGTGGCTAGGGCGCCAGCCACATACACCTAAGGTGGCGGGTTCAAATTCAGCCCGGGCCTGCCAAACAACAGCGACGGCTACAACCAAAAAATAGCCAGGCGTTGTGGTGGGCGCCTGTGGTCCCAGCTACTTGGGAGACTGAGGCAGGAGACTCGCTTGAGCCCAGGAGTTGGAGGTTGCTGTGAGCTGTGATGCCACAGCACTCTACCCAGGGGGACAGCTTGAGGCTCTGTCTCAAAAAAAAAAAACAAAAAAAAAACTAATCTATGGTTCAAATAATTTCTTTTCCTTTAACATCAGACCTCGCCTATATAAACTGAAAAATAAACACAATATATGGACTTCATTTTGTTTATATTATTTCCTATATTTAATCATGTAAGAACTGATGTTTCATCTAATCCATTAAAATACATAAAAGAAATAAACGTTTGCTTTAAAAAGAAAAAAGAAACAAAGAAAAGGCTATTGTAATTAGATATGAAGCTTATAAATTGGGATAGGAACAGGTGAGGGGACTGCATTCCAGAGATGAATCTGGTTACAGAAGGATTATGACTGATGTCAACTCCTCTGCATGAGCTCCCACTGCACTCTTTACAATCCACTGGCAGCACCTTCAGCAGTATGATGCACCTATTGCTTGCATATCTATATAGTACACTGTCAGTTTCTGGGGACAGGGTTATCTTTTTTATCTCTGTTCACAGTACCTAGCACATGAATGACATTGGGTAAAGCTTACTGAATGAACATCTTCTTATTTTTTTGCAACATAAACCATTCTGCAGACAAAATACAACTCTTTTTTTTTTTTTTTTTAAACACTGTTGTCCTGGGTAGAGTACAGTGGCCTCATAATAGCTCACTGAAACCTCAAATGCCTGGGCTCAAGTGATCCTCCTGCCTCAGCCTCTCCAATAGCTGGGACTACAGATGCACAGCATAGCACCTGGCTAATTTTTTCTATTCTTATTATTTATTTTTTTTATTTATTTTTTGTTCAAGATAGACTCTCACTCAACACCCTTGGTAGAGTGCCATGGCGTCACAGCTCACAGCAACCTCAAACTCTTGGGCTTAAGCGATTCTCTTGCCTCAGCCTCCCAAGTAGCTGGGACTACAGGAGCCCACCACACCCTCAGCTATTCTTTTTGTTGTTGTTGTTGTTATAGGTGTTATAGGTCATTGCTGTTTAGCAGGCCCTATCCAGGTTCAAACTTACCAGCCCCCTTACCACCCTAACCACTGAGCTGTGGGTGCTGAGCCTAATTTTTTCTATTTTTAGTAGAGCCCAGGTCTCACTCTTGAACTCCTGAGCTCAAGCAATCTTTTGGGCTTGGCTTCCCAGAGTGCTAGGATTACAAGCATGAGCTGCTGCACCTGGCACAATATAACTCTGATACGTACTCCCTTTAGGTCCTCATGATTTTTTTTTTTTTTTGAAACAGAGTCTCACTATGTCGCCCTCAGTAGAGTATCATGGCATCACAGCTCACAGCAATCTCAAACTCTTGGGCTCAAGCAATTCTCTTGCCTCAGCCTCCCAAGTAGCTGGGACTATAGGCATCCGCCACAATGCCCGGCTTTTTTTTTTTTTTGCAGTTGTCATTATTGGTTAGCTGGTCCAGGCCAGGTATGTGGCTGGCACCATAACCACTGTGTTACAGGCACCAAGCCAGGTCCTCATGATTTTCTTACCTTGTAATAATGTTCCAGGAGAATCCTGACTACTCCCTCCACACTTTCGGCCTCAACAGGCTTCCTGGCAAACTGAAGTAGGTATTGCAAAGCATCTGCTGGGGAGGTAGCTTTACACAGATCTATGTGGAGTGCTGCAGATTTACTTGGTTTTGTCAGTCGCAGTTTCTTAGTAGCAATTTCCTCCTGTGGTTGCTGCAATGGGATAGGAAGACAAGACATAAAAACTTTGTGAAAATACAATCTGCAAATTTAACTCTGCCTCATTTGATGGAAATTACTTCCCTTTTACTAAATAATGTATTTAGATCACAGACCTAGACTTACAAAAAAGCAGTGTTATAAACTGAACCAAGAGCAATGGTTTGGTGACAAGGTCCTGCGTCTCAATTTTGCCTTTCTCAAGCTCCTACAAGACGCTGGGCAAGCATTAAATTCTCTAAGTCTCAGTTTGTTTTTCCCAAGTCTCAATTTGTTCTACTTATCTCTGAAGATTGTTGTAGCTTTGGGGTTTAGATGCCAGAAAGAGGAACTACTTCATTCTTTATCAGAAAATAAATATCAATTCTACAAATATATTGAGATTGTACTAAGCCACCCAGTAGGTTCAGAGTCCCTCCTTAGAAAACTAGAACTGATGGGGAAAAAAAATCTGTCCCTCATACTGAGGGAAAAAATCTGCCCCTTACTACAGGTGACTATCTTTACCCAAGCCACTCTGGCTTTATTAGAAGAACAGTAAATGTTAGGAAAAAAAATGCCATATGCCTAACAAACTGTAATCACTGAATAGATGTTTACTAAATGAATGATTTAGAATTAAGAGTTATTTTTGCATTCCAATTTTGCTGTTCTAAGTCATGAATCTCACTTCTAATATCTACGAAACAGGAATGATTAACACACACTACCAGTCTTTCTCAACAAGGGAACCTTATGAACCACAGAACACAGAAAATTATTTGAGTAATTATTTCTTCAGTCCTCTCAAGGATAGTATATAACTAGAACCATTCCAGATGCATTCATTACACACAATGGATGTTAAAAGTCTGTATAAAAGATAACCTGTTACTCCAGGTCAAGTTAGGCCATGGTGGGTAGGTACAGAAGAGGAACCTAACAGAAGGTAAATGGTATAATCAATAATTTTCCTTAACACCCAATACATCATTTTGGAAAAATCACTTCCTTACAAATTCACACTTTACTATAGAGAAGAAATAGGATTATCCTAGATAAGACAGTAAGACATGATAAAAAGAATAAGGGTTTTGGAGTCAGAAATTTGTATTCAATAAACACTAGTCAAGGAAGGCCTTCTCTTTGTATAAAGGAGAATACCTATATCTATTTCACAAGAATATGTGAGAAATATAAATTATCACGTTTTTATTTTGCACATATAAGTATAAGGCACATATCAGTTCTGTCTCATTTCACATCTTCACAGAAAAGGAAAAGGAACAGATACACTAAGATCTCATTTAATCACTCAATTGTAAGTACTCATCAAAAATAAAGTGAAGAGGGCAGCACCTTTGGCTCAAAGGGGTTGGGTGCTGGCCCCATATGCCGGAGGTGGTGGGTTCAAACCCAGTTCCAGCCAAAAACTGCAAAAAAATAATAATAATAATAAAATAAATAAAAATTAAATTAAATTTAAAAAGGCTCAGCGCCTGTGGCTCAAGTGGCTAAGATGCCAGCCACATACACCTAAGGTGGCGGGTTCAAATCTAGCCTGGCCCGCCAAACAACAATGATGGATGTAACCAAAAATTGGCTGGGCGTTGTGGCGGGCGCCTGTGGTCCCAGCTACTTGGGAGGCTGAGGCAGGAGACTCGCTTGAGCCCAGGAGTTGGAGGTTGCTGTGAGCTTTGATGCCACAGCACTCTACCCAGGGGGACAGCTTGAGGCTCTGTCTCAAAAAATAAATAAATGAATGAATAAAGTGAAGAAATTAATTCTTCCCTTAAAATTCGTACCCATTTCCATCCTATTCCATGCAAATTCGGTCTTCAGTGTTATCTAAACTGCAGTTAGGTCAAAATCTGGGAAAGAATTCTTTTTCCTAGGGACTTAGTAAGGAACAGGACAAACCAATATCAGCTATCATTAAACCATCAATAACGTTTTAGAGACCTAGCCCCTATTGTCAATATACAGGACACAGAAATAAAGCAGGCATTATCTCTGCCGTCAAGAAGCTCAGACTGGTGGGAAGATATGTACATCTGATTATAGTGGCACTGAATGAAAAAGTACAAACAGAAGAGTACAACAGAGTGCTATAGAAGCAGTCAAAGAAGAGACTAAGCTCTTGCTGAGGTTTCAGTGAGAATCACTGACTTCCCTGTCCTTAACTCAAAGGGAAGAGCCCCTTCCTAGGTGAGCCATTCCATCAACGGAGCTTTTCTCCTATGAAGCCTGTGGTCTTTGCCTGCTTTGACTGGGTCTTGAGAAATTCTATAGACCCTTCCATCCCCGTAGAGCTGTGCATATAGCCCAACTTGTCGCTAGTCGCTTTTCTTGTAACTAGAGTTAGGATGGGCTCTGCTGCTGCGTCCTTGAACACTCGAGAAGGCTCAACATCCACATCTGGAAACGAGGATGCTAATGTAACCCGATCTAGCAAGGCACGAGAACAAAATGAGTAACTAATAAGACAGTTTTGTAAATTGTAAAGTACTATTTGTTTCCTCTAATAACTTTTTTTAAATTATGTCAGACCACATACTGTTGCTGACAACAGCGGCTGTAAGCTAACACGCCCACTAACATGCCGGCTCAGAGAGACCAACAAGTACTTGGCACTCCACACGGGCTTAGGGCTCCGGGTCTAGCAAAGTGCCCGGGTTCGGACAACTTTCCTCGCCTTGGGACCTGTCCTGCAGAAGCATACCTGAACCACTTTAGAGAATTCTTCATACACCCGCTTCTTAAGGTGCGCCGCCATGGCTACTCGCGGGCCCTCTCAGCTTCCGTACTCTAGGAAGGAGGGGAGGTGGAGGAATTCCGAAAACCAGCCTTGGCGTGAGGAACCCGCCGCGATCCCACAAGGCAGTGGGGCTTTGGGAAAGAGAGGCAACTTCCTGCGACTCTACTGCCCCTCCTCTGGACTGCCGGATTTGGTCGCCGACGCCTCCAGCGCTGGAGGTGCGAAAACGGAGCGTTTCTTGAGGAGGCGGGGCTTCTGGCAAAAGGAAAGGGTGGACAGCCAATGGGAGCGTTCAGAGGTTTGCTGGTGGTCTCAGAGTGACCCAAAGACTGGCGCCCAACCGAGCGAAGAGAGGGAGAAAGTACAGGTTAAAGGGCAGAGGCGGACGATCGGAGCTGGAGGTGGAACTTGGAGCTGTGGGAGGATTTAGGTTCGCAAAATAACAGAAAGAGGCTGAGCTAACAGTCCCATCGTCCTTTGCTGCACGCGGCGTTTGATGCTTGTAGCTCTCCTGAGCTTTTGTTCAAGCTGTGCGCCGTCTCTCCACTGTCGGGTGCTTTTTCAGGCTCGCTCGTGTCAGTTGTGCAAAAACTACTATCCTTTAAGTAATTGATCCCTCTGAAGGCTATGGTACTACGGAAAGGTCAAGCAACAAAGCTTCAGACTACAACTCTGTCACTTGTTAAACGCCCTTTGCTACAAAAGTGCTTACAGTGCCTATGCTAACAAAAGATGTGATAAAAGGCAGGAAATAATGCAGGAACATTTTACATGCTATAAAGGTAGTGCACGTGGTAAGTGTTAGTAAATTCACGGTCAAGATTTACAGCCTACGTGAAACTAGCTGTGCATTGTTTTGTTCTTTCCAGGGTTCATGTGGGATACTTAAAAAAAGAAGATATGATAGATACAGAAGACCCAAAAATGCATTACCAGGTGATCTTTATCCTCAAGGTCCTGCAATCTGAGAAAACAGACAACCAAATTGACCATTACAAGACAACAGGAATGTACTTAATATAACGGGATTGTGGTTCAACCAAACCTAATTTCCTCACAGAAGCCTTTTTAAAAAAATAGAGGAATTTTTTTTAAAAACTGGCTTTAAAAGAGTGAGTTTTTCTACAACGAAAGAAAGACATTCCAGTCTGACTGCAGGAACTATTAAGATATACAGATGTGCCAGGGGAAATGAAAAACACTTTGCAAACTTCCTTCCATAAATGTTGGCTACTATTATTATTATTACCATATTCTGTCACATAGAAGAGGCCAGCAATTATTTTAAAAACGTTGCTGGCGGGTCGTGCCTGTGGCTAAGTGAGTAGGGCACTGGCCCCATATACCCAGGGTGGCGGGTTCAAACACAGTCCCCGCCAAACTGCAACAAAAAAATAGCCAGGCATTGTGGTAGGTACCTGTAGTCCCAGCTACTCGGGAGGCTGAGGCAAGAGAATAGCCTAAAGCCCAAGAGTTTGAGGTTGCTGTGAACTGTGGCACTACGGCACTCCACTGAGGGTGCCATAGTGAGACTCTGTGTCAAAAAAAAAACAAAACAAAACAAAAAACATTGCTGGCCAGGTATGGGGTCTCACACCTATAATCCTAGCAGTCTGGGAGGGCAGGGCAGGGAGATCACTTGAAGTCAGGAGTTCAAGACCCTGTCTCTACAAAAAAGAGAAAAATTAGCCCAGTGTGGTGGTATACAGCATGAAGGCAGGAGGATTGCCTGAGCCCAGGAGTTTGAGGGTACAGTGAGCTATGATGATGCTATCACACTCTAGCCAGGGGGACAGGTGAAACCCTGTCTCAAAAAAAAAAAAATTGTTTCATGTATACTAAGAAAAAATGCTGAAATGAAAAACAATAGTTCCTTATTGCTTATATTTGTCTATATTTACTGAAAGATCTCTTTAACACATTATCATGTGAGTTGTGTTCAACTCACCATAATTTTGAGCCTGGAGCCTCACAAAGCTGTGAAACCTGTGCTCAGTGTTTTTTCTGCCAATCAGCAGGTCTCCCCCACCTCCTGTTGCACTGCTCCAGCCACTGCCCCAAGTGCCACACATGCTAGCCTCTGTTCTCTGATTACCATAATTCCCAGTAGCTTGAATTATCTAGAATGTTTGCCTGGCTGCTCTTTGAAGGATACTTGTAGCAGCGTTACATTGTTGCACATACTTAGGAGGTATGATTCAGAGGTCATCATCCAGGACCACCCAAGGTCCACTCCAAAGTAAATACTTACAGAATGACAAAAGACTCGATTCTCAGAAACAAATTCAATACGTAGGTCATGAGTTACATACAACTCATATGGCATGCAGTGTATAAATTGTAGCTCTACATGAGTTGCATATAACTCAAGCATAGAAAACAAAACAAATTAATTTTTTATTAAATTAGAAAGGATCATGTTGTTTTCAAGGTTTTTATTCTAAAACAACATGGCCTCAAAAAAAATTTTTTTTCTAGTGTGGGAGTCAATGTGTAAACCTTCGGTCCCAGCCACTTGAGAGACTAAGAGGGGAGCACTTGAGTCCAGGAGCTTGAGCCTCCAGTGGACCATGAACAGCTACACCACTGAACTCTAAGCCTGTGTGACAGAGCAAGACTCTGTCTCTAAAAAAATAGTAAAAATAGCCAGTATGGTGGCTCACATCTATAATGTCAGCATTTTGGGAAGCCGAGGCTGGAAGATCACTTGAGGCCAGAAGGCCAGGAATTTGGGGGGGAAATTCTAAAAACTTATTGTTGTGAGTGGGTGGATTAAAAGAATAATAAATTTTATTATTAATCTGCTAAATAAAATTTTATTTAGTAGATTTTTTTTTTTTGAGACAGAGTCTCGCTATGTTGCCCTCCGTAGAGTGCTGTAGCATCACAGCTTGCAGAAACCTCAAACTCTTAGGCTTAAGCGATTCTCTTGCCTCAACCTCCCAAGTAGCTGGGACTACAGGTGCCCACCATAACACCTGGTTATTTTATTGTTGTCATTGTTTAGCAGGCTCGGGCTGAGTTCAAACCTGCCAACCCCTGTGTATGTGGCCGGCACCCTAACCACTGAACTATGGGCACCAAGCCTTTATATTAGATTTTCATCTTATGACATACTGCTATGTTTCTAAGTCTTTCCATGCACATAAAAATTTTTCATTTCAATGCCAAATTATAGGGTAATTTATTTAAAGGTATATTAAGTAGCAATTTTTTTTTTTTAGACAAGGTTTCACTTTGTTGCTTAGGCTGGAATTTAGTGGCACAATCATTGTGTATTGCCATCTGAAACTCCTGGGCTCAAATGATCCTCCCTTCTCAGCCTTCCAAGTAGCTGGGATTACAGGCACATGCCACCACACCTGGCTAATTTTAATGGTCTCAAACTCCTTGCATCAAGCAATCCTTTTACCTTGGCCTCCCAAAATGCTGGGATTATAGGCATGAGCTATTACACCTGGCCTTAAATAGCAATTAAAGACAAAACACCTAGTACCAAAATTGCACAGAGCTCAGTTGAAGTGATGACAACATGAATTGCTATGTCCTAGTGTATACATCAGCAACTGGCCAACAACAGTGTTAAAATGTGTCCTGATAGAAGAGATATTAAGTATACCTTGTAGCATCAATCATACAAAGTATTATCATTATTATCATATATTTATTTTAGAGACAAGAGTCTCACTTTGTCTATCTCGGTACAGTGCTGTGGCATCACAGCTCACAGCAACCTCCAGCTCTTGGGCTTAGGTGATTCTCTTGCCTCAGCCTCCTAAGTAGCTGGGACAACAGGCACCCGCCACAATGCCTGGCTATTTTTTTGTTTCAGTTTGGCCAGGGCCACGTTCAAACCTGCCACCCTCGGTGTATGGGGCCAGCCCCCTACACTGAGCCACAGGCACTGCCCAAAGCATTATCATTATTAAATACATGGCTTTAAGAACCGGTTTGGTGCATTCAGAAAGCCAAAGGAAATTGTGCACATTGGGAGTAAAGTGCATACACAGAACATGGAAAAGTAATAGAAACAAAGTTGAAAAGTAGGGGCCAGATTGGTTAAAAAAAAAATACATTCTCTAACATCATTCTCTATTGCTGAATTGAAAAACTGGCATTATTAAATAGAGATATAATTGTCCTTTTACCTTTATTATTGCATATGATAATATGTTGTGGTGCCCAGTGAGTGCCCTGGACTTCAGTCTTCCCTGTCCCTACTGTATAACAGCAACCCAACTTCTCCTTAGAATTAAGGGTTAATTACCCCCACGAGTAGAGTAACCTCTTCTCTGCCTATTGGTTCAGCAACAAGAGCTCCAGTGGTCAGGGGACAGTCTCATTACATGTTTCAGTGTAATGAATAATGACTAGGTCTGTAGTTCCCTCTTTTGGGAACTAAGCATTCAAAACCTACTGAGGCCAAGAATTCATAAATGAGTTGGTGTGAAAGTGAGTAGAACTGGTCCTACCTCCAATCCTTGATTCCCAGACCCATGTATTCTAACTATGGGAGAAATAGTACTATATTTTAGCTGTTGATAAAAGGGATACATCACAAACCTATAAGATAGAACCCCACACTCGCAAGTGTTTTGTCTTTCAGCACGATAAGTGAGTCTCCAGAAAGTCATTTAACTGATTTATTATTATTATTATTATTATTATTTGAGACAGAGCCTCAAGCTGTCCCCCTGGGTAGAGTGCTGTGGCATCACAGCTCACAGCAACCTCCAACTCCTGGGCTCAAGTGAGTCTCCTGCCTCAGCCTCCCAAGTAGCTGGGACCACAGGCATGTGCCATAACACCCGGCTATTTTTTGGTTGCAGCATTATTGTTCTTTGGCAGGCCCGGGCTGGATTTGAACCCGCCACCTTAGGTGTATGTGGCTGGTGCCTTAGCCGCTTGAGCCACAGGCACCAAGCCTAACTGATTTATTATTATGGCCACATCTGAGTGATGGAGCTCCTGGCAAGAAAAACGAAAATAAGTTCCTTAGTCAGAAGCAATGTATAGAATAC